AAGATGTGGTTATGCGAGCTTGGATAAATAAAAGTAAAAAAGCTGAAAGCAGGAGAGCAAGAGTGAAAACTAATCACAAAAAAGTTTCAAGATTATTTCCACCGGGTAGTGACAGGAGACAGGGTTATCCTATGTTGTTCGGACTCGTCAAAAATATCAATGGATGCGTGTAGGATTCGCCAAAAGTAGTGTATTTTTGGAGAATCTGACACAGGAGCGGCATCAGAAGTGAACAGTCCACGCAACTAACCGGTTATCATTCTAAAGATATACAAGGATAAGCAATGAGAGTATATAATTACTGGCCTTTGCACCTATTCTAGGTTGGCAATTATTTGTAACTGGCAAAAATCAGTGCAATGTCATCCCTAGACCATTAGGTATTTCGAATGTACACAATTTTCTGAAATTTTAAAGCCAATCTCCTACAAAACACACAGATGTCTGAGTAGAACACAATAAGGTCCTCTTACAGACCGGTGAAATAAATTTCTAAGAATTTCATTCCAACTTTATGTAACATACCAAGTTCAGTTGGAATTGATGCTCTAAACATCTTTCTAACCAGTATAGCAAAACATAGTTTGCACAAATCAGAAAAGTAAACCAGATTTAAAGTAATTACAGGCTTGAATGTTTCAGGACTGCAGAGTGGATGCGAGTTGCTTCCATTAACTCCCTGAGAAGGCCAATAAGCAGCACAAAATGCTCGATCACATCCCAAACCTACAAAGCCATACCGCCTTAGGTCTCACACACTAAACACTTAAAAGGGGAACAGAGAACGCTAATATTTCAAGTTGAGGAAAGGAAACACATACAATCACAAAATCACAGGTGAGGACTAGATATTTTCTAACAAGAACATAATAACGAAGGGTTTCGAAGTATAGTACTTACAGTGTTGTTGCACTCCAACGTTTGATCGAGAGGGCATCATTCCTCCACATGCTTGACATTGAAGATGAACTGTGCTTTCATTGCACTGATAACCTCCATATTCAGTGTCTGAGTGCAAGCTTCTCAATGTTAGAAAATCGAAGTACATAATTTTAAATGGTTTTAGTTCAATGGTTGAATACAAAATAGAAACCATAAAAAATTTAAAGTCACAAGAGAATAGTATTAGATTCTCTCAAAGCTTTACATGAGATTTACATCGTGCAGTAACTCAATAAAGCATTTTTTTCTGAATAAGTCAACATATTTCACTTTATATCAGTTCCCAAATTGCAAATAATGTCTAGATTTAGGAAAAATGCAGTTACCACACTGAGGGCATGAATGCTCCCACCTATCTGCTGCATCTGATGGAGAACGTTCCCTCTTCCTGCGACTTTTTCTACTGCTGAGGACCTGCTCATAGGGGTTAGTATGTTTACCAACTTTTAACAAAACAAATTGTTGAGCACTTATGATACTACTACTGCAATAACACCAATATACCCAGTGAAATCCCACAAGTGGGGTCTGTGGAGGGTACAGTGTATGCAAACCGTTATCCCTACCTCATGGAGGTAGAGGCTGTTTCCGAAGGACCCTTGGCTCAAGTGCCTTAGTGCAGCTAAGCAGAGCAGTTATGAGAAGGAAAATTGGCAGCGAAAAAACCATGGCAACTAATAAGGAAAACGATACAGGACATACAGAAAAAGGACAGTAACAACAGTAAAATAATGTGTTTATGATCCTAAATATTTAACATGTTAATTAGTGTAAGTATGGCATATGATAGACAGTAATCAAAATAGACCACTTATAATTGAAGCGGAACTCCTAAATATCTACTGCACGGAGAGATAGTTACAAAATACGGAACAGCAATACCTGACATGAAGTGTAAAGATCTTTGGAAGCACAGGAGCAATCATATAATAAGAGTTGGGGAAGAGCACTAACAAAGCCTTACACAGGAGCTGCAATTTACAAAGGCATCTCATATGGTAAGTTAGACTACTCACAAGTGGTGACTTTATTGATGCATTGGAATCAAGCAGCACAATATCTTCACTCGAGCGTTTCAAAGAAGGATCAGCAAGCAGTATATCCTGCATAATAAGGGCATAAACTTTTAACTACAACTCGCACGGTATTAAAACATGCACCCAATGCTTCCACAAAGAGATACATGCTTAGATTAGGCAAAAAGTTTTTTAATAGAAAAGGCAGAACATAACAGAATTACAACTTGAACAGGACCTATTAAAAAGGATTTTAATCCTAAAACTTAGAAAAATAATTAAATGAAAATTAACTTAAAAAGGACAGTTTGTCGAACTGGAAATAAGGGCAAAAGCAAATCAATTTCACGTCTTACTTGCTCAATGTTATGCAAAAAATGGTTCCTTCCAACAAAATGTACAACTGCTCTGCAATGGGGACATAAAACACTTGAACGCCTCTCTTGGGACCTCCTTAACCACTCTGAAAAGCATCCATTACTGGAGATTGAAGAACATATATGATAGCACATCTAGTCAAGGATCAAATCCAAATGGTTTTTCAAACCACTTAAAGTTCTAAACCACTAACCAGAAATTGTGAAGGCAAGGTGCAGCTGTGACAACATCATGCCAGATGTTCAAGCAGATACAGCATTTTGCATACTCGACATCGAGATAAATCTAGCATAACAATAGCCCATGTGACACAACATAAACTGATAACAGCGGATATATAATGTTGCTAAAAGGTTACATAACTTACCTGTATGTACCTGCGAGATTCCTCAGTAGGCATTATTTCGAATCGGTATTTCACATAACCTAACAACATTGAAGCATAACGCTATAAGCCACACATCATTGCCCATGAGATATGCCTTTCTAATGCATTTCGAGTTAAAACCTGGGATGAGATTACATTTCATAAAATGACGAGAGTGGATATATTCTTCATCAAATCCTCCTTGACCTACTTATCTATTCAAATGGCCAACTGAACTCAATCTCTAGCTTGTAAGTTCTTTTTTTCTTTTACAAGATAAAAGTTTTATTAATAAAGGTACAGAAACAAACATCTCCCATACAATAGATTCATGTAACACAATTCCCAAGTGAATCCAAGAAATCCATATATTGATCCATATTGTGTAGCAGATTCCTCTCACACCAAAAAATAGACTGTGCAGACAAAGGTTCTTGACTCTAGAAATATGGTACTTTTTGTTCTCAAAGCAAGCACTATTTTTATCAGTCCAAATAGTCCAGATAATACACAGAGAGGGATAGTCCTCCAAAACTGTTTCTGGTTGTTTGCAATCTCCTGCCCTTTCCATCTTTCAAGTGTACTCCTAACATGAAGGCATTAGCCAATTACACCACATCATAGCTTCTAAGTTAATAGAAACATATAGTGACCAGGAAAACATCTTTTAAATGGCAGTACAATTGAAAAGGAACATAAAGGGTGCAACCCATGCATGAAATGCTCCAAGGCAATTTTGGGGGAAGGAGGAGAATGGGCACATTTGCACGTATCCTTCCCCTGATTTCTGCAAATAGGCTACCTCCACACCTCAAACAAATGACCTATAGGTCACAAAAGTAGACACTGACCATTGCACCAAGGCTCGGATTGAAGACGAACGTATATCAACAAATTCAGTATTAGCTGACAATATTTGTATATAGGGCTATTAGTACAACACTCACATCTAACAAGAAACTAGCAACCTCAAGATTCATATCACTCATGGAGGAGCAGCACGATGTTAAGGAGTTCTATTTTCTTTTTAACTCCTGGATAACACACCTAAAAAGTACAGTGCAGGTAATAGAAAGAGGACAGGTACACACAAAGAAATATATTGGAATTCTTAAAAGTGCAAGGCAGATTAATGACTCCAAAAAGGAATATGATAAGTAACAAGTATAACTCACCTTCATCACTGGGACCTAGTGAAATTTCACTGCCACACTTAATTACAGCAGCATGCTCTTCCTGAACAACCGTCTCATCAACAAGAATTTCTTTCAAACTATACTAGACAAAAATGTAGATAGTAAACACACATACAACTTTGGTTGAAACAAAAAGCAAATGCAATTACCCAAGACAAAGCTGCATAGGAAAGCACCACGGAAACAACAGAGGTCACTGACAATTGTTGAAGAGACGATTCATTTTAAACTGCTAGAGTCCACAAAGTAGCAATTGATGGAAACAACAAAAGCAAACAATAAAAAAATATTTCTGATAAAACAGAATATCATTCATTGTAGTGAGCGCCAGACTTAACAATTTCAGCTACCATGCTATCTCAATCATGATTCTCTTTACATCCAAAAAAGTATATGGCACAAAAAATATCTTTTTATACCACTTAATCACTTATACTTCTCTCACTAGTGACACTACTACAACATAGTTTCCTATTTCTTTTATTCCAACTTAGCCAAAATAATACAAAAGGCATAGTTCTCACATAATGTTGTTTATCTCCTTGCCATCTCCAACTTTGATCGTTTCTTCTACAGTCTTTAGTGTTACCCAATCAATACTAATCAGTTAAAACACAAGATTCCACATGTGTAATCACTTGGAATGTAACATGATGGGTAAGTATCTACTCTATTTTATTTACACAAACAATATCAATTCCTTACAATTCAACTTCTCTTATTAAGTTATGCTCCATTAATATTACATCCCTCATATACAAAGTGAAAGAATAACCTTCTTTCAAGTTTTAATGTGCCACAGTATCTTCCCCACATCTCTTCAAATCCCCCCTCCGATTATTTCTCAAGTCCGTAAGCTATCATATTCTACCCAGTGCACTCCACAGAAGGCTGGATCGATCGGATGAAGGATTGATGATCTTTGCCCCATGTCATTTAAAGACAGTTGAACCAACAGTACCATGACCATTTGACCATGTATTTCTATTCAAACTCGATGTAGATTATGCATAATGCTGTGAGTAATAGCATCAGAAGAGAGATTGAAGATCTGGTTAAGTGAATATTACTACAGGTTCAATCTCTTCATAGGAAAAAATGCAGCACCAAATATTCTTGGGTATAGGAGCATTAGTCCAAGCAACTTCAACTAATAAGCTTCCCAAACATGCATCAAGAAGTTACTTAAGCAAATTATTAATTATGGAGAGAGAACTCAAGGATAGTAAACCCAAAAACTAGGATTCCCTTTAGCTGATACCAAATATACCATTAAAGACCAATTACAGGACACTGGCATGCATCTCAATTACATGAAAAAAGTTTTATCATTCCATTCATTTTTTATTGAGGGAAGGAAAGAGTACTGATTTAGCAGCATATTTTCTAGTATTTTTACTTCAAAAATCAATTTGGGCTGGAGAATACAAAACAATCTAAAACCCAATAACTGGGTGGATGATCACAGTTTATCTTGTCTTTTGTTAAATAGATCCATAACGAAGTTATCTTAAACCATATACAGGACAGCATGAACCAAATACGCTTGCGTAAAATGAAATATTTACACAACCAGAAATGTTTACCTTCTATTTTGCATCATGGCAGAATCTAGATCCACATTCCTTGTTATTTTACACCAATCTTGCTTTTCAGAAGAAGAATGCTTTACTTCACTGCATATTACGGTCTCCTTCAACCTTAACTCAATTTCTGAATAGCGAGAGTCTGTCGGTACTATATTTATAAGGACAAAATGCTAGTCAATAAACAGCATTTATCTCAGTTCACATCTTCCTTGTACTTCTAAAAAGCTAAAATCATCAAACAAGTGAAGAACGAATAGTGATTCAAATAGAAGTCTATATCACTGCACAACACAATTAAAAAAGCAAATCAAGTATCGCCAATATCAACTAGAAGAAAAGCATGGTGTATCCAGACTCCAGAGATTGAGGTACCTAATATTGCAAGACTCTGTGGTATTATAGGATGTATAATAGGTTCCTTATCTTATAGCTATTTTGGATCTTCCTTTGGTTGCTAAACAAAAAGTTACAGTGGGTTGTTTTAGAGAGGTATGAGAAAAGACTATCCCTTAAAGGTAAGCTAGACTTGACTACTAGTGTTTTGGATTCACTTCCTACATATGCAGTGAAGTAGAGAAAACACAGGACAAATTGAGAAGAGACTTGCTATGGGAAGGCAACAAGGACAAGAAGGTTACAGATGAACCACACATGCCATAAAAACGTATCTGCAGATCAGGGTCTCCATACAAAGTGGCTTGTTTCTCTTGGTTGGTAGCAAAAGATGCCTGCTTAAGCCATGAAGTTATAGAAAGAACCAACTTTGCAGCAGATGCTGGTTGAGTGGGTTGAGAAGTGAAAGCATTGACCATTTAATGTTGCACAGTCATGTTTCTTACCAATTGAGGCAGTTATTTTTCTGGCATGATGAGACCACAGTAAGTGTTGCCTAATCAACAAAAGAACTATTGAACTGTTGGAATGGGTTGGATTAGCAATCTCAAAATTGCAACTCATGTAGTTCGGTGCTATCTTAATGCTATTCTGATATTAATAAATCAAGTAAAACCACAAAATTGAGTGATAAGAAGACAAGCACAATTCCTAGTCATCTCCATCTATGGCAAAGTTGGTTCCATGGCATTTAGGAAGTGTTACAAAAAAGAGAGTGATAGATCCAACACAGTGGTCAACCTCAAAAATCACACATACTATTAAACATAATGCTACGCTGATATGAATCAAATCACTAAACATCACCAACATGCTTGTGAAAAGGGAAGGGGGCTGACAACAGGCTGCTTCCTTGCATCCCTTCCCTCAAAGGGGAAGGGGTCAAAGGATTTATCACCACAAAACTCTCTTTGAAGGAGCAAACCAGAATATTTCCTAAAAATTTGAACTTTTAAAGAAAAAATGTCGTTTTAAGTCAAAATCAAAATAAATAAGAACAATCCTTTTAATTCCATTATCTGCTGAAAATTTCATAGACTATTTGGAATTTTCTGGTCACACAAGACTGACTTTAATATGAAATATAAGCAAATATCTTATGCCAAATGCCATTGATCAATGATACTCTAGCAAAGCTCTGGTGTTGTAGAACACAAACTCTTAACACGTTACTGGAGATCCAATTTAACCATCTCCTGTATTTAGTAATAATAACATAAGCATCATAATATGCTACAATTTCAAGATATTGGAAATTCAGTGCATATATTCAAATGTAATATTTGATGATCTTATATGTGAAAATCGGCCCCAAACCTTTTCCCTTCATGTAATTCACATTGAATTAATATTTAAATGAACTTATTCTGATGTAGCCCTAATATTTAACAATGTAAATTGCAGGATTTGGTGTCTCCTCTATATAGACCCTATCGGCTGTCAATGATTATACATGTTCACGGCATTTCACCATTCTTGGACTCACAGATAGTTAACCAATCCTTCTTTGTCATTCAACAAATCCAAACTACATGGATTATGCACTTCCAAAATGAAATCACACAAATGCACTAAATACATAAATCAAAAAAGCAATTTAATCAAGAACAGATACGGAGCAATATATTACACAAAATTAAACTGTAATAAGCAAATAGCAGGCTACTTCAACCACTACCATACTTGAAGAAACCTCAAAAATATTATCTTGGACTCTCTTTATAACCCCACAAAGTAATCAAAAGCATTTCAGCATTGACATTTAAAGAAACTATCCTTGTGAGTGTAACGGAAATTCAAGTTAACCCCTTTCATGAACAATTCACAATTTTGATACCCAAGAAATTCTATTTTGGGTCAACCAAAGAAAATCGCAAAAAAAGGAAGCTGAAAAACTTACAAAACGTGACATTTGACAACCCTTTATTGTAAAAGAAAGAAAATGTAAGGAATGGTGCTTACTGAGTTTGGCCCAGACTTCGTCTTCGGAAAGTGTAGGAGTAGAGCTTTCTCCCTTTTCCATGGCTGTGTAAGATAAGAGAGGGAAAAAAGTCGAGAGTTAATATATACAAGTACTAGTAGAGGAGAGAAGATTGCAGTGGAAGGAAGGAACAATATTGCAATTAGTCGCTAGGTAATCGACGTGGGAATCTTTCGTGCCATTTTTCTAGTTTTGCAGTTTTGCCTTGTTTGAATTTACACAAGGCCCCACATTACTAATCATAAAAATGACAAAAATTAGGCATTGTTATAAAAGAAGTTGCTAAGATTAATATACTAAAAGAAAGAAAATTGAGGAAGTAATATATTTCAAATATGTATACATGTATACATTTCATATAGTGGCTCTAATGTATAACTTGGCCTTCTAATTGGCCAAGTGATGAAATATTACTAATGGGAAGGTTTCATATGGCATGCATACACAATTACTAGTGATGCAACTATTCTAGTTGATGGTTGCCCACGTGGCACTCCAAATGTTTTTACAACACTCCCCATTGGATATCTATGTAAAAGAAAGTACATAGATATACATAATACGCATTATTTGCTGCCTCATTAGAAACCTTTCTAGGAAAACCGAGTGGGACAAAACCTAGAATAAGGAAAAAAAGAGTACAGTGCGTATTTTACTCCCCTGATAAAAATGACGATTCAGATGGTTAAGTTTTCGCATTCCAATTTTGTGAACCATCTTCTCAAGAGTTGAGGCCGATAAAGATTTGGTAAATAAATCTACTGGATTATCACTCGAACAAATTTGTCGCACATCAATATCACCGTTCTTCTGGAGATCATGTCTGAAGAATAATTTTGATGAAATGTGTTTCGTTCTATCTCCTTTTATAAAGCCTCCTCTTAATTGAGCTATGCATGCAGCATTGTCTTCAAAAAGCATTGTGGGTATCTTGACGTCACACTTCAAAGCACATATTTCTTTGATAAAATGTATAACTGATCTTAACCATACACATTCTCTACTTGCTTCATGAATGATTATTATCTCAGCATGATTTGAAGAAGTAACGACAATAGACTGCTTCGTAGATCGCCATGATATAGCAGTACCTCCGTATGTAAGCAGATAGCCTATTTGTGATCGATCTTTATATGGGTCAGATAAATAACATGCATCTGCATGACCAACAACATATGCACTATCTTTGTTAGAATAAAACAGACCCATATCACTAGTTCCCCTTAGATATCACAATTTATGTTTAACTCCATTCCAATGTCTTCGTGTAGGGGAAAAACTATATCTTGCTAACAAATTAACAGAAAATGCTATGTCGCGTGTCGTAGCATTAGCAAGATACATAAGTGCCCCAGTTGCACTGAGATAAGGGATGGATCCTTACTCACTTCAACTGATCGGACAACCATTGGAGTACTTAATGGATGTGTTTTGTCCATGTAAAATCATTTCAAAATTTTCTCAGTATAGGCAGATTGATGGATGAAGACCCCGTCTACTAAATATTCTATTTGTAGTCCAAGACAAATTTTGTCTTTCCAAGGTCTTTCATCTCAAATTCTTTCTTTAGATATTTAATTGCATTTTGAACCTCTTCTGGAGTTCCAATGAGATTAATTTCATCAACATAAATAGCAAGAATAACAAACCCCAATGTTGTTTTCTTAATAAATATACAAGGACATATGGCATCGTTTATATAACCTTGTTTTATCAAGTACTCACTAAGGCGATTATACCACATGCGCCCTGATTGTTTTTAAGCCATATAATGACTTTTGTAATCTGATTGAATACATTTCCCGAGATTTTGAACTATATGCTTCAGGCATTTTAAGTCCTTTTGGAACTTTCATATAAATTTCATTATCAAGTAAACCGTAAAAGTAAGCTGTAATCACAACCATTAGATGAATTTCAAGATCTTCATGTACAGCTAAACCGATGAGATATCGAAAAGTTATTGCATTCATAACAGGTGAATATGTTTCTTCATAGTCGACACCGGGTCGTTGAGAGAATCCTTGTGCAACAAGGCGTGCCTTGTATCTTACAATCTCATTTCTCTCATTTCTTTTTCGTACAAAGACCCATTTATAGCCAATTGATTTAACATCACTAGGCGTTTGGACTACTGGTCCAAAAACTTCACGCTTAGTAAGTGAATTTAATTCTGATTGAATTGCTTCTTGCCATTTTGGCCAATCACATCTTTTGTCGATATTCGACAGATAGAGGTTCAAGATCCTCACTTCCTTTCATAATGTTAAGTGCAACATCATATGCAAAAATGTTATCCACTATGATTTTTGATCGATCTAAACTTATCCCATCACCTGTAGAACTTATTGAGAGTTATTCATTCACTTGAGTCTCGGGTTCACAGATCTCTTCAGGAATATCAGAATTAATTAGATCTTGAATTTCTTCGTGAGATTCTTTTGTACTCATTTTTTATACTTCTCTTTCTAGGATTTTTATCTTTTGAACCCAATGGTCCACCACGCTTCAGGCGTATTTGTGATTCAGAAGCTACGATACTTGTAGATGGTTCTTTTGGGACGTCGATTCGGATAGGAACATTTACTGCAGGAATATGCGACTTTGTTATCCTTTTTGAATCAGTAAATGTGTCTGCATTTGATTTTCTATGTTTTGCAAATGGATCATCTTCTGCATTTCTTGTTCACACAGGGGAGCGTGGATCAAAATGAGATAATGATGAAACTTTCCATGCAATTTCACTTTTAAGTTTCTTTTTCTCTCTCCCTAATTGCGGAAAATTTGTTTCATCAAATCAACAATCTGCAAATCTTGCAGTGAATAAATCTCCCGTCAATGGCTCAAGGTAGCGAATTATGGAGGGTGAATTAAACCCAACATATATGCCTAACCTTCTTTGAGGGCCCATCTTGGTGCGCTGAGGTGGTGTTACAGGCACATATACAACACATTCAAAAATTTGAAAATGAGCAATATTTGGTTCATGGTCAAATACCAATTGTGATAGGGAGTATTTATTATAATGAGTCGGTCTGAGACAAACAAATGATGTTGCATGTAAGATAGCATGACCCCAAACAGTAGTAGGCAACTCACTTTTCATAAGTAGAGGTCTTGCTATCAATTGTAAGCGTTTAATAAATGACTCAGCAAGGCCATTTTGAGTATGAACATGAGCTACATGATGTTCAACTTTTATCCCTACCGATACGCAATAAGCATCAAAAGCTTCAGATGTGAATTCGCCAGCATTATCAAGGCGAATTGTCTTAATTGGATAATCTAAAAATTGCGCTCTTGATCGTATCATTTGTGCCAATAATTTTGCAAACGCCAGGTTGCGAGATGATAAGAGGCACACATGAGACCATCTTGAAGATGCGTCCATTAGGACCATAAAATATCTAACAACCCACTAGATGGGTGAATAGGTCCACAAATATCCCCATGTATTCGTTCTAAAAATTGAGGAGATTCAATGTTAACCTTCATTGGTGATGGCCTAGTAATCAATTTGCCTTGGCAACAAGCAGCACACGAAAACTCATCATTTGTAAGAATCTTCAGGTTCTTTAATGGATGTCCATTTGAGTTTTCAATGTTTCGTCTCATCATTATTGATCCAAGATGACCTATTCGGTCATGCCAAAGCACAAAAGTCTTTAAGTCAGTAAACTTGTGGTTTACGATACTTATTTTTGCATAATACAGGCCAGAAGATAAAGTTGATAATTTCTCCAACACATATTTCTGGTCTGAGACAATCTTGGTAATACCAAGGTATTCAACATTCATTTCATTTATTGTCTCAACATGATATCCATTGCGGCGAATATCTTTAAAACTTAACAAGTTTCTTGGGGATTTAGAAGAGAACAATGTAACTTCTATGACTAGTTTTGTCCCTTAGGCAGAAATATAGTAGCTCTTCCGGAGCCTTCTATTAAGTTTGAATTACCAGAAATTGTAGTAACATTTGCTTTTCTTATAAGCAATTAGGAGAGAGTATTTCTCATCTTTGAATATGGCGTGCATTGTTCCACTACCAATTACACAAATATCTTCATGATTGATCATTGAGGTATCCATATACTCTTCAAGATAAAAGATATAAATGAAATAAACATTATAATATTATTACTAAACAAAAACATTACACAACCTTTTAGTTATTTACAAGTCTAGGAAAACATATTCATACTAGTTCATACAAACGACGAAAATGAAATATATTTACATTACCACAGATCCATAACCTATCAGGTGATCTATCTTTTCTTCAGGATTCTTAAAGAAATCCGCTACATCTAGATGCATGGGTTCAACAGTATCTTCCGAGATAAAGTTGGCTTCAACGTTATTTTTCACCTCCTTCAGGGAAGCTTGATATAGCTCAACCAGGTGCCTTGGCGTACGATAGGTACGTGACCAATGTCCTTTTCCTTCACATCGATAACATTTATTTTCTGAATTTTTCTTCTGCACTACGTCATTTTTTTCATTCTTCTTTTTACACTGTTGGTGTTGAAGGTTATTATTTAGTGCAAGACGATCATGATTGAAATTTTTTCCTCGACCATGACCACGATCTTTTTCACGCCTAGATTGGTGAAAATTTACCATATTACTTCAGGAAATGGCATAGAACCAGTAGGTCGACTTTCATGGTTTTTCATCAATAAGTCATTATGTTGTTCAGCAACAAGGAGATGTAAAATTAATTTGGAATATTTTTTAAATCTCATTTCTCGGTATTGCTGCTGCAGAAGCATACTCGAGGCAGGGAAAGTGGAAAACATTTTCTCTACCATATCATGGTCAGTGATATTTTCTTCTCATAATTTTAATTGTGAGATAATTTTAAACATGGATGAGTTATACTCACTGATAGATTTAAAATCTTGAAGTCTCAAGTGGATCCAGTCATAACGTACCTGTGGAAGGACGACCAACTTCAGGTGGTCATATCTATCTTTTAAATTGTTTCACAACACCAGAGGATCCTTAACAGTGAGATATTCCATTTTCAAACCTTCATCAAGGTAATGACGGAGAAATATCATGGCCTTAGCACGGTTTTGATTCGATGCTTGATTATTTTCTTGGATTGTGTCTGCTAGACCCATCGCATCAAGATGAATTTCTGCATCGAGTACCCATGATATATAGCTTTTTCCCGATATGTCTAGAGCAAGAAATTCATGTTTAGAGAGATTAGACATTATTAACAAAAGGAAACTTATATTTGTAACGATCCAAAAAAAATATATATATTAATTAAGTAAATAAGAATAAATAGGTATTTAAGGGCATAATGGTCCTTTCGCGTATTAATTAAAATAAACCAGATTTGTATTTATTTATTTTAAATTCTTTTTGACTAATTCTTGAATTAGTCTCCTAATCCTAATAGTTCTCTCTCTCTCACGCTTCTTAACTCTCTCTCACGTTCTCCATCTTCCTCACATTATTTCTGCCAAATATCAACAATTCTTCATGCTTGAAGAACTCACATAAAATTTTAAGAAAAATAAAGCAATCAAAAACAATATTAAGGCGAAGAGGAGTTGTTCGTTGAGTGGTGTGGACGTTGAAGTAACTTGGACTGACTTTTGGAGAGAATTTTGGATAGCAGATTCTTTGTTTGAACATCAATAAAGGTATGGCTTTTTCTTCTCTCTTGGCTCCTTTCCCAAGAGGCCCCTTACGATTCGAACTATTCACCTCGAAACTAAGGTTGTTCCTCGTTGCATGCCCCTATCACTAGCTCCCTATGATCTTAGGTTGGGTATTCTTGTTGGTAGAATTTAGGGATGCTTGTTGTGGTGATGATCTCGTTTCATATGTGTTCATAATGATGTGATTATATTTTGTATCTTTCGAAAAATATGAATGTGTATATGTATGTATTTGTGCAAGATTTTTGACCGTGACTTTGAGTCTTTCTTTAGCATGTTAATAGATTAGAAATTACTCGTGTTTTATGTGCAATTAAAGGCTCTTAAAATATTGATGTTCACATGGTTGAAAGGCTATAAATTCTAGTTAAAACAAATGATCAAATCATCCCCCTAAACTAGTCTTAAGAACATTAACGAATGTATAAGAAACAAATGCTAAATTAACCCGTAAAAATGATGTACAAAATTGTGGAGTAATGTCCCAGAACCTGGAAATAAGTTGTAGATGCATTCTGGAAATTTTGAGCAAAAAAAAAGAATTAAAAAAAAATAGGTGAGGTCTGCGGGGATCGAACCCGAGACCTCACCAAAACATGCCTTAATAAAATAAATAAAGAGGAGTGCTGAAGGTGGGGCTCGAACCGGGGACAGGGGGCTGCTGAAATTCGCAAAGAAAAAGAATGGGGCAGGGGGGAGTCGAACTCGCAACCTAGGGGGAGGAGGAGGCGAAAAATCAAGTAAATAAATAAATGGGAGGCGTGGGGTTCGAACCCACGACCTCCCCGAACGCGCGAGGAAGGAAAAAAAATTAAAATTTGCGAGGTGTGGGGATCGAACCCACGACCTCAGCGCTGAAGGGAAAGGCGAAAAATAATAAAGTGAGGCTGTGGGGATTCGATCCCACAACCTCACTGCCACTCCCTTATTTAATAAAAAAAATAGAGGGGTTGTGGGGGTTCGAACCCACCACCTCACAGCCTCCTCTTCAGCGAAAAAAAGGAGGAAAATAAGGGGGGCTGTGGGGGTTAGAACCCACAACCTCCCCAATGAGGCGAATTTGATGAATAAAATAAAAAAATAAAAAAAATAAAAAGGGATTTGAATTAGAATTCTAATTAAAAATAGAAAATTAATTCTTCCATGTAAATATGGAGATTCAATTTAGAATTCTAATTAAAATAGAAAATTGATTCTTTTATGTAAACATTGAGATTTAATTTAGAATTCTAATTAAAATAGAAAATCAATTCTTTCATGCAAATATGGAGATTTAATTTAGAATTCTAATTAAAATAGAAAATTTATTATTTTATGAAAATGTTGAGATTTAATTTAGAGTTCTAATGTTATGAATATTAGAAATAAAGTCAATGAAAAATATAAATGATATCCAAATTATTCAAGAGTGGGGTTCCCGTGCCCAAACCTCCGTATCGATACACAAGTCATACGTGAGTAAAATATTCAAGAATAATGTAATCTACTTTGATCAAAAATCAAGATCTTGGTATATGTACAAGATACATAAGTCTTGTAATACATAATCTTAGGAAAATAAGAATCACTTAACGAACTATAAATGAAGTCTCATGGCTTGTATGTATAGACACATAAGTTTAACATACGTTCAAAAATAAGTGAACCTAAGATATGCGTAATGAAATGAAGAAATGAACATTCACGTAATAAGAGGTGAGTAACTATGAAAAATAAAGGTGCTAATAATGAAGAATGTAGTGACAACATGACGTGAGGCGAATGTATATGATGAGAGCAATCTCAAATGAGCCTAAGTAAATGTTACCAATACGTACTCACCAATGAGAGTGTAAGATAATGAAGAGACCAGTCTCTATGAACACTCTAATGAAAATATTGAGTTTAAAACACTTAATATTAATGATGAGATGAGAAATCATCTATTGAGCTATGATGTCCTCATACTAGAAGCCAGCTTCCATGATGTATGAGTTGAATGTAATGGAACTTTGTACTGAGCATCGATAGGCTAGCTATGAGCGGTGATGCCTTCTTTCGGGAAGGGCGGAGGTTCACGTAACTCTCATGAGATGAGACTGTCCGGCTTGCCGGGTATGGGTCTCCATACATCTCCTAGTCTTTGAACCTATATTGCCACTATAGGGATCTGGCGGGGTTAAATTCCCATATACGCAAGCATGTTATTGAATCGCTTTGGCCGGTGATTCCACCTCTTTTCGATGTGGGGGAGACAGTGGATTTCATGATGCTCACATGATCTATGTCGGTTAAAGTTAAAGTTCCCAATGAATTAATGAGGCCAGCCTCAAATGAATCATATAAAGAAATGAACGATACCGAAGGTGTTAGGATAGGATAATCAAGAGGTGAGCTAGATTCAGGTAATGACATTAGGTTATTCCTGATCATTGCACAACAAACCCGATGAAAGTCTTAAACTACATCCTAGGTATAGCTGGTGTTCGCACTGGCCTATGAATGAATTGAAATGAAATACCTATGAAGGAATGAAGCAGACTCTGTGCTTGCTAAAGAAGGCTCCCTAGTTGAGGTCCCATATGTTGAGCCCTCATTTTGGAAAGTCTTAAGGTTAAGTCTATGATAATAAAGTCTCATGGTATATGAATGAATAGTATGAAAGAAACTATGTGTTATATGTTATGTGCTATATGAATATGTTATGTGTTGTGTGCCATACGATAATTATAATGATGCATGTCACTCTCATGGCATAACTTTCTCAATCTCAATTTAGCAAGTCCACTAACTTGACTTCCAAACATCATGTTGTTAGAAAAGAGCTCTTCTTCCTCATGCATGTCCCTGGTATGTGCTTGCATATACCCATACTTAGTACAAGTGTGTACTAATTCCATACAAACATCTACTTTTAGGTGCAGGCACAGGTGGACGATAGAGCTACAGGTTCGTTGTTGCAGCTATCCGGACGTCAGCATTCATCCGGAGTTTGGTAGGTCCTCATGCTTTCGAGGATGCTACTATTTTACATTCTAGCTTAGTTTTAGAGTTGAGCTAGTGGAGCATGTTCCACTAGCGTTTCTTTCCTGTTTTGGTTCAGACTTTGTATTGGTGCTATTTTGGCCGATATACAATTAATACTTAATGAATTATTTCTTTCAGTTGCTTATCTCTTAAATGTTAGATGGTTGATGATGAATGATTACGAAATATAAAGAATGTTTAACAAGTATGATTAAGGAAATCAAAAATTTCAAATTTTCCGCTAAAATTAAACTATGTAAAGTAAGAATGACGTAAGTAGGCTTGTTTGCGACCTCTGAGAGGTCAACGACGCCGGTCTCATCTGGGGTCTAGATTCCAGTCGTGACAATATCTCCGAGGCGTTTAAAGTCTTTGCTTGAACTGGCAGAGACTCGTACTAATAACGTGCTATAAAAGAACTTACTAAGATTAATATACTAAAAGATAAAAAATTGAGGAAGTAATATATTTCAAATATGTATATATGTATACATTTCATATAGTTGATATTTATAGCCATACACTAATGTATAACTTGGCCTTCTAATTGGCAAAGTGATGAAATATTACTAATGGGAAGGTTCCATATGGCATGCATACACAATCACTAGTGATGCAACTATTCTAGTTGTTGGGGCCGATGTGGCACTCCAAATATTTTACAAGTGTCATATATGTTTAGGTTGGTGTAAGAGATATGACATGAAATTCATTGATTTGAAGTTGAAAAAAGTAATTTGAATATGAAACTTGTTTCTATTTATATGTCGTCCTTGTTTAAAATAGATGATGCTTTATAATCAGCAGTTATTCATTATATTTTGGGATGTCCAATAATATTTATCTACTTTATGAAATAAATGGATAGTTTTACACTTATATCCTAATTTGATATAATAATACTCCATCCATTTCAAAAAGAATGTCATTCTTTCATTTTTAATTTGTTTAAAAAAGAATAACCTCTTTATTGTAAAACTAAAACAAAATAAAATAAGAAATATCAAAGATAAATCAATAGAAATAGGGAGACAAAAGATGAGAGCATTTCTTATTCATCAAAGTAATCATCAAATCTTCAAGTGTATACAATATGAACCGCTATGCCTATTTTATAGTGTAACATAGAGGTATACAAAAGGTTAGTCAAAAACATGACATCAGCATAAATATAATCAGAGGCATATGTAGAATTTCAAGGTCCTGTAAACCACATTGTTTAAGTAAAGCAAGTCAGTTGATTTAATTTTAGGTTACAATCGAGTTATTTATCTTTCTTTTATAAACAAATTGATTAACCATGCATGTTAGTAATATTTTCTTTTAGATGTTATTTAAGCAATTCAGTGTTTATACTTTTTAGGAATTAGTGGCTTTATTTGCTATAACTTTGAAGAAAGAAAAGAATTTTCATACTAAAATTTGAGCTTTTATAAACTATCTAATAGTGTTAACTTAATATATCGACTTTATGTGTTGTTGCAAAATATAACAAAAAGAA